TGTCAAGCTTGCGCCATGCTCCCCTCATGCTTCCCACAAATGCCTGCATGCAATATGTTCCAGCCAAGGTGCAGCTCCAGAATGCAACTCGACTGCAATTCAGCAGGCACATGATAGAAATTGTATTTGCCACACCGTTGGGAAGCACCAAGATGCCAGCAAACAGTGCAGAACAAAACACCCCATTTTGTTAACCCTTGTTGTCGTGCTCAACATCCTTAAAACAAGAAGTCAAGAACCAGTGCAGAAAAAAAGCCCCATTTTGTTAGTCCTAGTTGTCGTGCTCAACATCCTAAAAACAAGAAGCCAAGAACCAGAGCAGAAAAAAACACACCCCATTTTGTTAACCCTGGTTGTCGTGCTCAACATCCTTAAAACAAGAAGTCAAGAACCAGTGCAGAAAAAAAGCCCCATTTTTTTAGTCCTAGTTGTCGTGCTCAACATCCTTAAAACAAGAAGCCAAGAACCAGAGCAGAAAAAAACACACCCCATTTTGTTAACCCTGGTTGTCGTGCTCAACATCCTTAAACCAAGAAGCCAAGAACCAGTGCAGAAAAAAAGCCCCATTTTGTTAGTCCTAGTTGTCGTGCCACCTGCTGACAATCTGAAGCCCTGAAGATTGCCACCTGCTGACAATCCAAAGGGGCAACCGGCCAGCAAGGGAGTGTGACAGCCATCCGCCCCCTTTCCACCAACCCCCACCACGATTGCCACCTATTGGCAATCTATACCCCCTTAAGATTGCCACTTGCTGACAATCCAAAGGGGCAACCGGCCAGCAAGGGAGTGTGACAGCCATCCGCCCCCTTTCCACCAACCCCCACCAGGATTGCCACCTATTGGCAATCTGTACCCCCTTAAGATTGCCACCTGTTGGCAATCTGTACCCCCCTAAGATTGCCACCTGCTGGCAATCTAGATCCCCTGTGATTGCCACTTGTTGGCAATCTGTACCCCCTTAAGATTACCACCTGTTGGCAATCTGTACCCCCCCGATTGCCGCCTTCTGACAATCTAGACCCCCTAAGATTGCCGCCTTCTGACAATCTAGACCCCCTAAGATTGCCACCCCTTTGGGGCCTGGAGATTGTCACTCGGGGCCTGGCGATTGTCACTTTGGGGCCTGGAGATTGTCCCCTGGGGCCTGGCGATTGTCACTTTGGGGCCTGGAGATTGTCACTCGGGGCCTGGCGATTGTCACTTTGGGGCCTGGAGATTGTCACCTGCGGCCTGGCGATTGTCACTTTGGGGCCTGGAGATTGTCACTTTGGGGCCTGGAGATTGTCACTTTGGCGTTGTGGGTGGCCTGGTTGCAAGTTTTTGCAGGTTTTGAGAGGTTTTTAAAGGCTCAGAGTGGTTTTAAAACGTTCTAAGGGGCTTCCGAAGTTATTTCAAAGGGCTTTAAGCAGTCTTGAAGCCGGGCAAAATTGACACCCACCGTCAATCTACGACCGCCCGGGGACCAGGATTTCCCCGACCCGCGCGCGTACACACAATGCGCTTTTGGACCCTCCGCTCGCACCCCAAGGGAGCATGCTAACTGTCTTTTGGAAGCTAGTAATGGCGTTGAACTACAGCGACTGCTGTACGCGCCAGTTCACTAGCGAAGCGGCCTACAAATACCTAAAAAGAGCCGAGGTGCCTTCCTTGAGCATTCCAAAAGTAGGCCGCGGGCATACTTTTGGGATGTGTGCCACGGACGCGCTTTGCGCGAGGATCGGTTTGTTTTACTCAGTGCCAAGGGCCAAGGGGGCTTCCCATTGAGCCTGTCAACGGGAACGCGTGTACTCGCTCGCGGGTGCGCGTTACTACCGGGGATCCGATCTATCTCCAATCGGTGAACACATATGGGCGAAGGATGTTTCAATACGACCAGAAACATCGGGGAAGCAGGGAGCGTGTGCTGCGGGACATTCTCTTATAAGGCGCCTAAAATAAGGCCATCCCAGTACTAAGTACGCTGGGGGGTGCCTTCGAAGACCTTCACCCTCTCATACTTCCCACGCATGCATTCAGTGAACATGTCCAAGCCAAGGACTGATTTTTGGTGCAAGCGACTCGGCTGCAATTAAACACGTGCATGTCCACGGCCATCATCAACATATATGTTAACTCAACATGTGCTCGCCCAGGCATTGCTTTGGTGGTCGCAACTCGGCTGCAATCAAACATGTCCACGTCTAGAGCGTGCTTGCGTCATGCTTGCGTCATGCTTGCATCAATTTCCCTGCCGAAGCCAAGGCGCGGTCAGATGAGGCGAGAGCCGCCTCCAGACTGCATCTAGAATCTAGACGCAAACCTCGAGTCCGCACAAGCCTTTCAGGGAGTTTTCAAGGGTTAGTCTGGCAGAATTGCCTCGCTTATTGGGGCTTTGGGAATGAAAACCTCTTGGAGAATTGTTTCGCTTATTGGGGCGTTAGGAATGAAAACCTCTCCCGGAATTGTTTCGCTTATTGGGGCGTTAGAAGCGGACATCTCGTGCTGAATTGCTTCGTTTAGTGGGGCTTCCGGAATAAAAACCTCTTGCAGAATTGTTTCGCTTAGGACGGAAAACCTCTTGCAGAATTGTTTCGCTTATTGGGGCGTTAGGAAGGAAAACCTCTTGCAGAATTGTTTCGCTTATTGGGGCTTTAGGATTGAAAATCTCTTGCAGAATTGTTTCGCTTATTGGGGCTTTAGGAATGAAAACCTCTTGCAGAATTGTTTCGCTTATTGGGGCGTTACGAACCAAATTCTATGGCAGAATTGTTTCGCTTATTGGGGCTTCCGGAATGAAATCCTCTTGCAGAATTGTTTCGCTTATTGGGGCGTTTGGAAGGAAAACCTCTCGCGGAATTGTTTCGCTTATTGGGGTGTTAGGAGCGGATATCTCTTGCTGAAGTGCTTCGTTTAGTGGGGAATTTGCTCTACGGGGTTCTTTCTGGCACACTCTTATCCGTAACAAATCGTACTCACGGGTCTTGGTGATTCTTTCTGGCCCATTCTTATCCGAGGCAAGGAAAATAGACACCAAGTGTCAAGATCTGGGGGCTCCACTGCCACGTGGGGAGTGTAACGCATCGGGCGGGCTTTCCGGCCGGAAGGCGTGGGACGGCATCGGATATCGGCTGGCTTGAGTTGGACGGTCTGGACAAGAAGAACCGCTGCCTTGTTCGAGACAGCCCCGGCCCATTTAACTAGGTGGTAGTGATTGAGACGGGACGCCATGGAAGGAGCGGTAAAATTGCTTGGAACCAACTGCAAGCCAACGTCGCTGCCATCGTGCCTGCAGTGGAGCAAGCACACTAGCAGTCGCCTGCACCGCAGCCCAATTCGTGCTCAAGAGCATCAAAATAAAGCAAAAGTTCCGCAGCTTCCAGCGACAATCTAGGCCGAAGCTGCTTCGGACAGCAAGAGGGAAGGAATGGCAGCATAAGCTTCTCCGCCGGCCCTGCAGGTCAAATCGAAATGTACCCGAGCAACCGGCGCCGATGGGCCGACGTCGAGGACGAGGAGGAACAGGTGGCATGAAGCAAGCTAGCAGTCAAGGCGTACGGCGTACAGACTCTCCCGCACTCAGTCCCTGTCTTCCTGTTTCCAACCAAGGACCAACAGCAGAGAAACCGGGGGAGAGAGAGAGAGAGAGCGAGTGAACAAAACGGCAGAGACGAAGACAGACAGATCGCCAGATCTTGCCGCGCACAGGGGGCGGGATGGTGCTTCGACTTTGAAGCGTTCAAGAAGCAATACCTGGCAACGCAGTGCGCCCTGACGCTGAAGACGCCCGTCCCCGTCCCAGAACTTCATTAGAACACAATGCATGCAACCGCTGACCCATAAATAGCATTGTTCCTGCACGAAACCCAGCGAGGCCGGAATGATCAAAATCGACGAGGCGATTGCTTGCGGGCCTCGAACAGCAACCAACACAATGTGCCCGCACCGAGGCATGGAAGACGCATCCGACGACCTCCCGGACACGAAGGTCGGCCCATCGCCCAAGTGGACAGCACCGGGTGCACCGACGCAAGAAGGCACCGCCCTTGCGAACGCTTGAAAGACTCAGATACTTTGCAATCAGTCTGCAGGCTCCCGCGCCGACACTACCGAAGCCAACACAGTGGACGGCCGAGGACGATTCCGCACTCGAAGATGCTTTCCAACTGGCAGAGGCGCGGGATGCAGCAACATCCGGGTGACCGAGTGTTCATTCAGAGCAGCTGCAGGCCGAAAGGGCCACTGCGAGAGCTTCCTCGCACGAATGCGGCGACACAAGCGGTGCAACAGCACGCCCGGAGCGGCATCGCCGCACGGCACGGCGACGGAGACGGGCAACGACCAACGTGAATGACACGCAAAACGTCAGGCCCAGCAGCAGCACCGAGGCGGGCTCGCCTATTATTTTGGCTGTGGGTAGAGGCATTTCACTGCCCAGCCATCTGGGCCGCTTGTGAGGATCCCTTCAGCTTGGCGTATCTGCTCTCGAGCACGGAGCTCGGAGCCATTCTGTTCCCATTCTCCAGATCACATCAGTTCAATTTGATTTTCACTGCTTCCAAGGTCATCGGAGATTGCATCCCGACAACCGTGCTGACGCAATGGTCGTAAGTACGTGGACGATGGGTCGCAGACAGCGGAATCGGCTGCAGCATGCCAGTGCCTGAAGAAGTGCCGCAAGCGCATGCTGAAGCACGGTGTAATCCTTCCAGATAGTGAAGGCGCGTCCTGCGAGGCTCTTTGTGGCAACACGGCCTCTGCGGACGAGTGCCAGGCTTGGGCACGGACCGCCAGAGTTGGCAACTAGAATTCTGCATCTTCGGCACCTCGATGTAGCAACCGCACAGGCCGCGACAGCAATGTGCAGTTCCAGCACCAGCGAGGCAACTCCCCTGCCCATCGGTTGCGTTGTTGATTTTACGTATAACGCTCGCTAAGCTTGTTTGCTAATTCACTCGGGCATTCAACCCTTTCGCGTGCAGGTGCCTGCTGCTCCGGACACAACCTTCTTGCAGGTGGTAAAGATGGTTGCGGACGGCGACTGCTTGTTCCACGCGCTGGCCCATGGTCACAAGCGAACGATGGAGGACGAGAACGGTGCCAGGCCTCTTCCTGCAGACCTGGGACAGGCTCTTCGCCGGGATGTGACAAGCTTCTTGACAGCCCATGCATTCGAGCAGGGCGACTTCGCAGAGAGCTGGCTAGAAGAAGCGGAACGTCTGGACAGAGGATCGGAGGAGGCTTGGGCTGGAAACGACTCCATCGTGGCCTTCTCCCTGATGAAGAGATGCCGCGTGCACGTGCACACGTACCTTCCCGACGGCTCCATCGTCGCAATCGACTCCACCCATCGCGATCTTCAAAATCTCGCTGATTTGCCCACGGTTCATGTGTTCTACAATGGACAAGACCACTACGATGCATTGGTGCAAGCCGAAGACGTGGCACTGCTGGTTCCCGCGTGGAAGGGTCAGACGTGGCCGATGAGGTACTGGCGACTGCCGGGCGAATTGCCGCCGCTGGAAAGCGGCGATGCACTGCCCCCAATCAAGAAAACAAGATCGGCGGAGTCCGTCTTGGCACCTGAGGCCCCTGACCCTGCCGAAGACATCCTGGACGAAGTGTGCAAGGCGATCGTGGCGCCGGCATCCACCCATCCGCATCGCCAAATGGAGGATGCCATTACGAAGCTGGCGACGACCAGGCTTCGGGACCATCCCACACTCCCACCTCTTGCCCTGCCGGAAGAAGTGGATGCGGGCGAAGCGTGGCCCCATGCTTTCTGTGCGTTCAGCGGCTGTTTGTGGACGGCCAGAACGGGCACGGAGGACGACCTGCTTCAGCACCTCCACGAGCAGCATGGCCCCGACCTTGATCCCCTAGCAAATCTTCTGTGGAATGGCCATGACGAGCACGATCTGCTCAGCATCTACAATGCCGCTCTGAGCGTCAAGTGCCGCTCGGCCGCTCCCCTGGCGGGCAGCTCGCTCGACCGGATCGCCCTGGAAAAGTTCGCAGAGGCGACTGCTGAGGACCACGTGGAATCCCTGATCTGCTTCTCGTGCGCTTGCAGCTACACGCGCATCGCAGAGACGGAAGCTCGGGGCGACATCCAGTGGCACCGCCCTCTGGAGCAGACGAACAAGTTCCTCGGCCAGCCCGTGAAGGTCATCGAGCAGCTCCTGGGATTGGACCAGTTCCTTGGAAAGTACAACCATCTGGTCGAAAACACGAAGTTAACCGACTTCGAAGACTTCGAGAACTGGCACCTCAAACTGGCAGGGGAAGCACAGCACGTTCGCTTGCTTTGCTGCCCCGAAGATCACCGATGCACAAAGAATCCAGAGCATCCCCGCGCCAGAGTTCTGTGCGAGCATTGCGAGGTGCCGGTTTGTCGCAGTTGCCTGGACTGCTTGAGCAGGAAGAAGCTGCCTCCGGCGAGCCTCGCAAATGACATGTGGACAGGCTACGGCCCCGAAAGGCTTTACCAGGAGAACGTGACGGTCATGGAGATGTTGTGCGCCAGTCCCTACATCACGACCCTCGTTTGCTTGACGATGGAGGCTCGCTACCGGGCGGAGGGAGCGCCCTTGGACCAGACGGCTCACATGCCGCGCCATCGTTTGGGCGCCCGCGGCAATGCGATTACCTTTCCTTTGCCTTGGGAGGACCTGCTTCGTAAGCTGGAGGGCCAGGACACCAGCCCTTCCGACTTACCCCGGAACCCCAACGAGCTCTCCGACGTCGTCCGGGTGATCCTCAAGACCAACAAGACGGGCCAGACTTCCGAGGCGGACTTGAAGAACTTGATTCACCAGGCAAGAGTCCGGCGGCACGTGGTGGTGCAGCTCATCCTGGACATGCGCCGTTACGGGCACCCTTCTTTCCAAGATATCAGAGAGGAGAAAATCAGGGAGAAGGCAAGCTCGCTGCCGGAGGACGGCGTGCCGCCCGAAGTCGTGAAGATCTTCGGCGAGCTGGACGACTCGCAGGAGAAGCTGCAACCGCAGAAAGCCGCCACGCCGGTGGACGGCCTCAGGAGCATCGATCAGGCAGGGAAACTATAACGAGAGTTTGTCAGCGGCAGAGTCTTGGAGCAAGCAAGACCGGTTTGTTAAGTGAGCAGCGTGCATCCCGCAATCAGGCCGGCGCCACCTTCTCGGCGCAGCGGCCGCGAGCCATCGTGGCGGAGGGCAGCAGCCTCGACCGACAGGACCAGAATGCCGTGGGCATGGCAGCTCTCACAAGCTTGGAGGCAGTGGACAAGATTGCAGAGAGGAAAGCAGAGACGTTGGTGGCGACCACGGGGAACGTTCTCGTCGACCAGTTCCAGCCCCGCTACTTCGCCATGGCCTTCGCCTTCTGCTTCAAGCACGGCACCGCGTGTCCAGACGTTCTCAACAAGAAGAACCCATCGGTCAGTCGGAGGCGTCAGAAGGATTCCGCTGCCCCGACCGTCGACATCCACGACTGGGCTGCCATCATGGGCCGTCGAGTGGAAGCCCAGTTCCGTCGAGACTGGAACTTCGGCTTCGTTCTGTGGAACTATCTCTTTCGGACAATGGTGAACTTGGATGGCAGCACCTCCTTGTACTCCCAGGGCGGCAAGAAGATGACGGGCGAGGAGTTCCTTCAGGGGTCGACGGAGCTTCGAGAGCAGCTGCAGCGCGGGAAGTACGTGGACATCACCGGCGCCCAGAAGAGCGTGCAAGGCGACTTCTCCAAAGTCCAGCACGTGCCGGGACTATCGGCTGCTGCGAAGAAGATAGCGCAGGACGTCAACGCCAAGTGCCGCAACATCCCAGGGACCCACGAGACCAGGAACCTCATGCGGCAGCAGACCCACGCGTACAGAGTGTGCTACGGCACTTCCGTCTTCCTGACCTTTTCGCCTTCGGAGAGGGATTCCACGCTGATGCTGAGGCTGGCGAGAACACGAGACACGGACCCCGCCCTGCAGCAAAGCGGCAAGCCGACTTGTCAGGAAAGGGGCCAACCGCCCCTGGATGAGGATTTCATGGAGCTGGACCCTCAGGTGCTGGCCCACATCCTGCCAGACTACGACGAGCGGCGGGCGATCCTGGCCAGAGACCCTCTTGCCTGTGCTGATGGCTTCTGGACGTTGGTGCAGTTGGTCTTGCGGCATCTCTTCGGGATTCGCTGGTGCCCCAACTGTCCGAACTGCGCCAAGTCGGACAAGCCCTGCACGGACGCGTTCGGGAGCAATGCCACGGCCATGGGCGGAGTACTGGGCAGAGTGGATGCAGCCTTCGGCTCCATCGAATGCCAGAGGAGCGGCGCTCTGCACGCTCACTTCCAAGTGTTCTTGCAGTGCCTCCACCAATTCACGCCCCTCTCGGAGATCGTGGCGCTGGGCAGAGAAGCTTACATGGACTTGGTGGAGAAGTACAAGGCCTACAACGCCCACGTGAGGCGCACCGTGTACTGCAATCCGGCGGCCTGGCAGAAGGAGCGCGACGCCGTGGAAAAGGAATGGCCGGAGTACCGGAGCTCAGTCCTCATGCTCAGTCGGCCCGGTTATCAAAGCGATGCCCGGCTCTCCGCGAAAGCCTGGAAACAGAAACACTTGGAAGAGGACGTGGAGGAGCTCCAGAAGCACAAGCAGCACCACGTCCATTTGCCCAAGGACACGGATCCGCAAGGGCCCAGACTTCCTCTCTCGCATTGCCGCGACAAGCGGGACCCGACGAAGTGCAAGGCCGGCTTCCCGCACTACAACCAGCTGACCGAGGAGACCTTGATCGTTTGCGAAGGGCTGGCCAGGCAGATGGACATGCCCGTCAAAGGCAAGAAAAGCATGCTCGGCTCCCTCTGGGGCCCGGTGAACGACCCGGAGCTCAACGGCACCCACCCTGCCTTGCTGGCGGCGCTTCGCTGCAATTCCGATCTGCAGCTGCCCTACCGCTTCCCGATCAACGAAGACATTCACAGCCACAAATGCCAGGATGAGAGCTGCTGCCCAGCAAGCCAAGCCGTGCGAACCTTGGTTCGAGAAGCCCAGCGGAACCAGGCCGCCCAGGCGGGCTACGGCTGCGACTACCAGAACAAGCGCCTCCCCATCGCCATCCACGAGATCAAGGAGTGGAACAGAGGGAACAAGGAGCTCGCAGAAGAGCTGAAGGGCAAGCCAGCCGGGTACGTGGCCTCACGCGTGGAGAACCGCTTCATCACAGACAGCTTCGCTCGAGGTGTTTGTCGCGGTGCCGTGGAATGCAGCAACCTCCTCACGCGGAACAAGCACGGCGACCCCGTGGAAGCGGAGTCCATACGCACCGCGCCCGTCGTATTCCTTCCGCTGTGGTACGGCTTGAACCTGCTGCAAGCAGCCGCCGACGCGGAACCCTGGCCTGCAGAGCCGCAGCGCTGGACCACGGAACCCAAGTGGAGAAAGCAGCAGCAGCCGCGAGCGGTGAGGCACTGTCCGTTCTGGACGCTGTACGGCTCCCGCGGCCGAGATCCGCGCGTCCATGAGCTGTCGGCGTACGAGTTCGCCATGCACTTCGAGTTCAAGAAAGCGACCCATCCCTGGAGCATCAAGTCGGACGATGACTCGGAGAAGCACCACCCGCTCCGCCACGAGGCTCAACTGACGGAGGCGGGCAAGGAGAAAGTGCGCTGGCATCGCTTCCAGGCCAAGCTCTCGCCGGGGGTCGATTATCGCATTCGGGAGCCTGGCCCCGACGAGGAGTGGATCCCCTTCGGCGAACCCGAGCTCGCCCAGCCTTTCAAGCACGACTGGGTCATGGTGCCGCGCAAGCGACCTCATGTGCCGGTGCTCTTCGGTGCGCAGGGCGGCAACCAAACCGCGGACGACCAGGCCATGAAGCTCCTTCTGCTCTTTCGTCCTTGGGTGAATGATCGCCGAGACGCCTCGGAGGACGACCTCGTGGCCTTCCTCGGAGACCTGTCTGCTCGCGACCAAGGGGCTACGGACTGGCTCCAGGCCGCACGGCTCTGGCTGGGCCGACGCGGCTTCCCCACAGAGTCCGTGAAGCGCTATGCCGCCCAGTTCTGCTTCGTCCATTGCCTGCCTCGGGAGCTCCGACCCGGTACGGAGCTGGAGGCCAACAGCGACAACGAAGACTTGGAGGACGTGCCCTGCTTCTTCGACCAGGACCTTGCAAGCCCAGGTAGTGAAGCACTTTTGCTACGATCATTGCCGTTGAGCTTGGTTTTAAGTTCTAGGCTTGAGTCGGCGCCCGCAGGACGACCTCACGCTGGCCATGGAAACGCACGTTCGAGGGGGATCTGGCGATGCGGGCAAGGAGGTGCAGACGCATGCCGACCGCACCAAGCAGATGTTCGCGCTGTCGCAAGCCATTTGGTTGGAAGGAAATGATGAAGGTGGACCCGACTCGGAGGCCAGGAACAGGTTCCGCGAGCTATCCGCCAAGGAGCCCGTGACGGACCATCAGCGGGTGAGGCAAGCCGCCATCGATTCGCGGGTCCGAGGCGACAAAGGAAAGGATAGACGAACCACGCGCAGGGACGAGCAAAGCCCCGAGGTGCAGGCTCAGGAGCCCGTGACCGCCGCCAAGCTCCTCGACTGGCTCCACAGCGACCGAGTGCGCGGGGCCGTGAATGCCAAGCAGCACGAGTTCCTCGAGCTCGTCGTGGACAGAGTCATGGTGGAGCTCAACCTCATCAGACCGGAGGATTCCATCCGGAAGACCTCAGAGCCGTTGATCTGGTTGCTCCACGGGGCGCCCGGCGTCGGCAAGTCCCACATCCTGCAGTTCCTCCGCGAGCTCTTCGAAGACTTGCTGAAGTACACCCAGGGCCACGAGTACGAGGTCGTGGCGCTCCAAGCAGTGAACGCGGCGGACATCCGCGGCAAGAACATACACAGGGCCTACGGCTTCAACAGGAGCGGGCAGCCGACCGAGGGAGACAATCCTCTCGTTCAGGGTATCCGCTTCCGGCGGTGGGTGATCGTGGACGAAATCAGCATGGTCAGCGCGAAGCTTTTGGCCCGCATGGAGCAACGACAGCGGGAGAACAAGAGCAGCAAAGACGAGTTCAAGCTGGACGGCCAGGGACGTGAAAGAGATTTCGGTGGCATCAACATGATCTTCATGGGCGACTTCTTCCAGTTCCCGCCGCCGGAGGGCGGCTTCATTGCGGACGTTCCCCACAGCTTGAAGTCTGCCACCGGGGTCGACAAGAGCACGGACCCTCTCGTCGAGCGCGGTCGGGACCTTTTCTGGCGCGGAGCGGTCCAAGGCGTCACCGAGCTGACGGAAACTCTGCGGTGCTCCGACGAGTGGTGGAACGAGGTGGTGGACCAACTTCGGCATGGCTATCTGTCGGAAGAGAACTGGAAGTACTTGCACGGCATCCCTGTGGAAGGCTGCACCCTGTCGGAAGCGGAGAGGCAGTCGCGCCGCAGAGTCATCATCTCGGATGAAGATCCGCGGCTGCAGGAGGCCAAGTTTCGGAAGGCGGTGGTCATCGTGGCCAACAACGACGCTCGCTACCAGATCAACAAAGACAAGGCCAGAGCCTATAGCAAAGAGTCCGGAGCTCCTCTCAGGTGGTCGGTGGCCAAGGACGTGGCGGAGGCCAAAGCTCTTCAAGCCGAGGACTGTAGCAAGGAGGCCAAAAGAAAGTGGCTACAGTACCACGACCGACATACGGGAGATCTTTGCGGCCTGCTCCCCCTCGCCATCGGCATGCCCGTCGCCCTCACCGACCACGTGGACCGGTCCGACAAGTTCCTGCTGCGCGGGCGCTGCGGTCACGTGCATTCCTGGGTGTGGCCCGAGAACGACCAGCAGCCCGAAGTGGTGTACGTCAAATTCCCGGACGTCAAGTGGCAGCTCCCCGGCACGCCCGAGCCCGGCATCTACCCCCTGCGGCCCGTAACAGAAGAATGGTTTCTCGACCACGGGCGCGAACACCCTGTCCTGAAGGTGAAACGACGCTTAGCTGCTGTGGCATGAAGAACCGTCCGTTTCAAATATTTGTCAGGACTTGCAGGTAGTCCACTGTGCCTTGCAGCTCTTCTTAAAAGCAGGTTGAAAACAGCTGGCCAGAAATATGAGAATTTAGATCGACTGTATACCAAACTTGCTCTGAAAGTCCTGAAGGAAAGCAGCTTCAGCTGACTCCGGCCTTCGCAATCACGGCTCACAGCAGCCAGGGCAAGACGCTGGATGCCACACTGCTCGACCTGAACGTGGACAAGAACGTCCACCAGACCCTGGGCACCGTGGCGGCGAGCCGTGTCCGCAGCCGTGAGGACGTGCTCATTCTGCGCCCCTTCCCACTCTGGCTGTTCCAACGCGGAGCGCCCGAAGGGCCCGATCTGCTGCTGAAGACCCTCCGCAAAGAGCGCGTCGATTGGAAGGCATGGCGCGAGAGCAGGAACCCCTTCGCTGCCTGCGGAAGTTGTGGCCACGTGAAAGACTTCGCGAGTTTCTCCTTCCTCGAATGGAACAAAGTGAGAGCCAACAGGGCGGCCAAGTGCTTGCACTGCGAGAAGGGCGGCAAAGGCTCCATCAAGCGCAAGATCAGCGGGGACTCCGAGATCTTGACCAAGCACTTGTGCGACGTTTGTGGCTGCAGCAAAATGGAGGCCGCATTCCCACTGGCGCAACTGCGCCAGGAAGGGGGACCGGATGTCAAGAAAGTGTGCACACTATGTGCTCGCAACCAACGCACTTTGACGTGCTCTATATGCGGAACGACCAAGTCGGCAAAGGCCTTCGAGTCCAGCATGTGCACCCTGCCACCTGGCTGCGCGGCATGCAG